ATCCAGCAGGCGGTGCAGGCGGGGATGAGTCCCATGGTTGGAGAGTATCTTAAATTGTTGGCGGGGCAGCAGGAACCGATTTTCTTGCCTTTGGTTTTGCCTTCTTGATGTTTTTGTTTCTTTTTCTTGTTGATTGTTGAACATGTTGGTTTTCCATTTTGGTTTTGGTGTGTTTAGATCGTTCGTGAGACAAATTCTGCACACGGGATTGAAAATTACATGTACAAGGTGAATGTTATCAGTGGTGTAACACAAGTATTTGACCTAGCTTCGGGATCCACTTTTAACCTGACCGCTCTTTATGCCGCCTACCTTGTTAGTATGCCGCGTTTCTAGGGCTAAGGTCTGCGAATTACATGCTACAAATGGCTAGGGTGCAACAACTATTAAGAAGATACGCTTTCCCGACATTCCACCCTCAACTATTCAATATACTCTTACCCAAGAGGCGAAGCGTCAAGAGCAGCAGAGTCTTCCCCGCTCAGGCGCCCCAAAGAAGCTCACTAAAGACGATCGCGACCATATATACGAGACTATACAAGAAAAGCCGTCAATATTGATCGAAGATCTACTTGCAGAGGTCGATTTCAAGCTCCACTATATGTCAATTTGGCTTCTAACCCACGAAATAGGCCTTCGAAAGTGGAGGAAGGTGCAGCGTCCTTTATTAACGCCTCTACACGCCGAAAAACGTCTAAATTGGGCCCTAAGATATCAGCACTTTACGTCTACGGATTGGCCCCACGTCTATTAGTCTCACGAGTGTATAGTTGAACGCGGAATCGGCCAGCGTTAAGAATGGACTTTTACACGTCCGAAAGACCAGCTTTTTCAGCATTTAAAAGAGTGCTCTCAGGTTTAAATGGTTCCGGCGCGAGGGAAACAAATTAAGCAGATATTTTAGGCTGCTTTTTGCGGTTTACCGCGTCGATCTGGCCTAATTCTACTATTTGGAGATCCTGAGTCTCGAAGCGGTGGTGTTTCTTCGCGTACCATCGAAGAACTCTATCGGCGTGTCTTACCTACGCTGCTTAATAGCCTTGATCATAATGCTATTTTTCAGAAAGATAACGCGCCAGTACATACTGCATATATCGTACGGGACGCTCTTAATAAGCTTGAATGCGAATTTATGGAATGGCCTCCCTATTCGCCTGATTTAAATCCAATTGAGAACCTGTGGGCGCTGCTAAAAGCCGAAATTTTGAAGCGTCATCCTGAGCTTATGCACCACCAAATAGCGAATCTACGCTAGCTCTATTGCTAGAAGCTGCGCAGGAAGCTTGGGAAGGCCTGGATATTGAGATATTTAAGCATCTATCAGAGACTATGCCTCACAGAGTGACTGATGTCATTAAATATGAAGGGTGGCATACTAGCTATTGAATTGGATTGAATTTCCGAGGTTTCTGCCAGCAGTATTAAAAACTGGGTCCTCGGCCAAAGTACTCGAGGTCAAATACTTGTGTTACACCACTGTACATGACCGATTTTCACCATTGAAGTCCACGGGGGATTGCCGTATCTATGAAAAGCCCAAACGATAATAAAAGGCATAATGACCACAGGATTCTAAATAATGAGGAGGGATCTACGAGATGTATTGTTCTAGAAAAGCAACATAGGAAAGCTCCTCTCACGGCCGAAAATTTTTCTCGTCCTCCTCATCATTCTTACAGACAGGTATCATTAATACACTTGCGGATCTTCTTGACGAGCATCCGCAACGGCACCAGCCGAGCAGCACGGCCCCCAGCAGAACCGGTCCAGTCCGGAATGGCAGGTCCGCGGCCACTGCGGGCCTCCTGCAGCGCCAGAGCCTCCAGAACAGACATATACGTCCCCGGAGCGGACAGAACATGCCCCGCACCTGTCAACAGGATCTCCACGCCGCGGTCGACGCGTTCGAGCAGATCGCAGCTCAGCTGCAAGACTACTGTGATCTGCTGTACTCCGTCTAGTTTCAACGTCGACCCTTCCAAGTGCACGTTGGAGAAGGGCGCGGAGCCCGAGAAATTGTCCAGGACGGCGAGTGGGCCGGTCAGATCGCCTGCGGGGGTGTATCGCGCGACCAAGGACCGGACGGAGGCATACAGATCGGTGAGAACGCTGCGGTACAGGCGGATGAGCAGCACGTGGCAGGTCGTGATAGTTAGACAGATGGGGAATTGGGTCTGGCAGGCGGGTGGGAGGGCCGGTTGCGGTCTTCGGAGTTTCTTGTCGGGGTGGCTGTCGCTGCTGCTCTTCTCCTGGCCTCCTCGGGACCAGGCTCGATTTCGCCCTGTGCCGGAGCCGGGAGGGGATGCAGTTGACAGATTTTCTGGGGTAGGTAGTGTGAACCAGGATGAGGTGTCCTGGGCTAGGGCTGAAGCTGGGCGATGATTGTCATGATACATGAGGTCCTCGTCGTCCGAATCCCGGGACGAGTCGGTGGCAGCACGATCTGGCGGTGGAATGCTGCAGACTGACTCGCGATAGGAGGAGACGAAGGATTGGATGATTTCGAAGAAGGTTTGTGAACAGCGCATCACCTGGTGCATTGGGTGGTCACTCTGGGTGTTTGCAACGTCAGACAAGCGCCAGCCGAGAGGGTGCGTGTCGGCCGAGGAGCCATTTGGGAAGGGGTCGGCTCGGTCTGTCACCTGACTTTCGATCCGATATACGTGTTCCAGGAGTGTGCTATGAAGCTTCCACAACCGCTCGATATTCTGCTCCTGAGGGTTGACGGCTGTAAAGTCGGTCGGGCCGACTGCGTCGGGCTGCGAGCCCATGGCCAGATCGGCGAAAGCAGATGTGTCGAATACATTCATGTTTGGAAAGTCAAGATCATAGCCCATATCTCCCTGGTCGAAGCCCAGTTCTGGTAGCTCATTCATCGCATCCATTCCGGCCATGACGAGGTCGGGCAATCGGTGGGTGGTGGTACAGGAGGGTGGGGTCGAAGAGTCAGCCCCAGTGTCGTTGGATCGCGTTTCATCGGACTTCTTGCTAGATTTGCGACGGTAACGAGGTTTGGGATTCAGGGAGCGCGGTCGACCCATGGGCATGGGAGCGTTGGTGACACAGGTCAAATTGTTTCGAGCGCAGCGATCGCACGCGATTGACGTATCCGTCCGGTGGGCCGTACGATCACATCGGAGCTTCTGACTGCGACACCGGTCACAGGCGTGGCGTCGGAATGGCCTCGGGTTTCGACTTCCAGAATCAGATTCAGCCTGTGGTGTAACGCGGTTCATTTTTAGTCGCAGAACAGCTTGATAAATTTGGTGTAAATTGGATGAACTGACGGACTGCAGATGAAGTGAATGGACTGATTTGGGGTAAATATAAGCAATGGTAAGTCTTCTACACACATCGAGGGGCCCTGGAGCACTCCAAGTGCTTATGAACTACCCTGGTAGCAGTATCAAGTGTGCATAATTGCTTGTAACCAATCTCCTAGTTGAGTAAAGTCTCCTGCAATCCTACGCTGCGCCCATCCCTGTGCGCGCTGATTGGTCCGTCTTTGATGTTCCCCCAAGCAGCGGGGTTTGAGTGTCTAACGGAGATTTCTCCCGACGACGGCACTAAAATTCCCCCCGCTCTAAGCCAAGAAGCCGGGACATAATCGTGCCAAGCCCACCAATACCCCTACGGGTAGTGGTGGGCTTGGCACGATTAGTGGTTCGGAATAGGGGTCAAAATCAGGCCTTAAATAGACTCATTTTATCGCTAGTTTTTAGATAAATTCAAGTCCTTGCTACAGTCTTGTTATGGGGCGAACAGAGATGGATCTTCCTATCTAAGCGTGCCGTATCAACAAGAAGGAATAACTGGGGAACGGGAAGTTGGGCGGTCGTTAGGTGTCAACAAATAGGGGAAAGGCGGTGCATACTGGCAGAATGAACTTGTAGCCCCCGGATGGACAACAAAGGATCATGGTTTTAATATTCCGTCGTAAAAGATAAACCTTTTCCCCCTCTTTTAGGTTAGGTCCTCCCTCGTATTAGTAGTCATAGTATCTCTTTATACGTAAATTAATAAAGTTAATATCTGGTATTCCTCTGACGTTCTTTGCAGATCTTAGGTGCCAAGTAAGTCCTCTGGTTGGTTTCTTTTGTATCGGTATATATGTTGGACCTTAGAAATCCTCGATTTACTTACTGGTATTTCCAGTCTCTCAAATTTCTTACAAGTCTCTTATTACGGGCCAACGGATGAAGTACCAGTTGTGGTGTCGGGGAACGACATGAAACTGATCCAATGGTCACTGGATGTAAAGTTATACTGTTTCTAGGTGTATGGCCTGTCAACTGGGTAAGATACTATGCTTTGGAGGAGAGCACAATATATTGTCTGGGGTGCCAAGACTAATTCTTGCCAGTCTTCTTGAGGGACCCTGGGGGGTCCCAGACTATAAGGGATCTATCTCTCCAATGTCGACATGTATGTCATGTGATGGACCCCTCTCGGATCGGCCACGACATGGGGTCGATCTGCCAAGACTGCCTAGCATGGTATTCTCTTTGTAAGGATCTTTATCCGTTACACTGGATGCTTTGCGCGCAAGTGGTCGCTCAACCACGGTCGAAACCGGCGAGACAGCTTTCTGATATGGTTTAAACGGTCCCTGAAGATTCCAGTTACGGCGGTCTACGTTCTTACCGTCAGAGCCCCACAAGAAACATATCTCTTGAAAGATCAATGGGTAGTGGGGGTTTTATAGGTCGTTCTATATCATTCCCACGTTTCCCAATTCCAAAAGTATCTTGCTGCAATGTTGACTAGGCTTTTTATTTCCGATACACAACACCTCCATACCCAAGCTATACTTGGGTTGATAGGTGTTTCTGGACTTTTATTATTCTAGAGGCATCACATACTCTGTGCTGCAGATCATGTTTGATTGGAAAAGAAAAATACTATTCACTAAACTGATTCGTTACGGACAATTCCATGAGTCAAACCCACTTCATACCGCACCGTCAAACTAAAAGCTCAGGCCGTCCCAGCTAGCTAGCTTATTTGTACAAGTCGACGTGGTCACGCTTGACGGCATCGGCACCCTTCTCACCGACCATGTACACGGAGTTCTGGATCCGGCAGTCGGGAATGACAGGGATGACGGAGGCGTCAATCACACGGAGGTTCTTAATACCGTGGACCTTGAGGTTGGGGTCAACCACGCCCTGCTTGATGCTCTTAGACAGACGGGCAGTACCACAAGGGTGGAAGGAGGTCTGGGAGCGGTCCAGCACGGCCCTCTTCATGAGCTTGTCGTCATGCAGAGGCATCTCCCAAGATACTCGTCCTCAATAATATCCTTAAAGCCGTCGCCGTTCTTCAGGACATCGTAGGCAAACCTGATGCCCTCGCGGATGGCGATGATATCAAGGTCGTTGTCAAAGTAGTTCAGATTGATGTTAGGTTGCTGCAGTGGGTCGGCGCTGTTGAGAGTGACCTCACCGGGCTCGGAGACAGGGCGGACAAGGTCAACCATAACAGTCATGTAGTTGCCCTTGCTTGGTGTGGGATAGTGTCACTGGAATGCGCTTCCGAAAAGACAGACGAAGTCGAGCTCAAAGTGAGGCTGGCCGTACGGGCAGAATGGGTCTTTATTGCCGTTCGAGGCCTTAGCCTGGCGGTACTGGGAGTCCATCTCCAAATACTTGTCAATTCGGGGAATCCGACCATCTCAAGGAAGCCGGAGCCTAATGGACCGCCATGGTTGTTCTGATAGGATTGGATGGCCTGATTGTTATGGGGGGTTCCCTTATGCAGGACGTAGTCATCCATGCCGAAGCCATCCTTGACGCGAAGGACAAAAGGGACACCGGGATGATCCAGGAGATGCTGACTAACGTGGGGGTTATTGACAATTGTCGGGATGTGGTGCTTCTTAAGCTCTGCGCTAGGCCCAATACCACTAAGCATCAGCAGCTTAGGGGACTCGAAGACACCCTGGGAGACAACGACTTCACGGGTGGCATAGAGGTTTAGTTCCTGGCCAGAGCCCGTGATGACAGTCACACCCTTGCATGTCTTATCAGCATCGTTGATGATAAGCTTCTTCGAGTGCACCTGGGGAAGGATGGTGATGTTTGACTTGTCGGCGACACAAAGGAAACTGCCAGAGCGGCGACCCTTATAAATCGAGTTGACACTATAGGTGAGGCCAACCATTTCACCGTCGAGGATATTGTCGTTGATTGGCTGGCCAGTGGACTTCCACGCACTGGTGAGGAGGTCACGGACAGGCTGCATCTCGGGAATAAGTTCCGAGTGGGAAATCGGGATCGGACCGCCTTGGCCGATCTTTTTCAGTTCGGGCGCGTATGCCTTCTAATCGTCATGGTAGGTCACACTCTTTCGCAGGTAGGGAAGGAGAGGGTCCCAAGTCCATTCCTTCCCACCGTACTCCTCCCACATATCAAAGGTACCCTTAGATCCAGGCACCCAGGTGAAATAGTTCAGGGACGAACTACCACAAAGGGCCTTGCCGCGGGTGTTGGGCTTCTTAATGCGTTCATAGTCGTCTCGCTTGACTATAGTTGACTTGTAGGCCCAGTCATACTGGCTATCACGGAGCTCCATAGCATTCGAAGGGGTTCTGATCTCTTCGATGTCTTTCGAGTTGGCAACACCAGCTTCAACAACTAAGATCTTAGCATTGGGGTTCTCAGCCAGGCGGCCGGCAACGACGTTGCCAGCAGTGCCACCACCAACGACAATGAAGTCGAATCTAGCATTGTCCTGGACAGACATGATGAAGGGACGGCGGTTAAGAAGTAGTGTCAATGATTGAACGTTTTTGAAGAGAAAAAGAGGATGATTTTTCAAGTCATGAAGGAACGAATTGTAGAAGCCTTTTATAAGTGAGGTGATTGGGGTCTCTGGGAGATCAGACTCCATGCAGTATAGAAGACTCATTATCCCACTTTCTGACCCCTCAGTGGCTGTCATAGACTTGTGTGAAAGCAGCAAAGCAGAAGCTCCACTTATCTATGTTGTAGGAATCCAGACCCGTCTAATAACTTCCTATTGGTTTCATGGTCTTTCCATATTGGGGTGCATGTGATGAGTTGCAAGGGTTGTGAGGTGATTCCGACACCTTGCACTCTCGAACACGTCAAGACGCCTGCAATTATACTTGGGCTAATGGTCTCCGAGAGGGCCAAGATGGTTGTAATTTGGATAGAGCTACAAAGATCTAGATTTTAAAAGCTCTGCATCATATGGTTAGCTGGTCGAGAGCACGCAGTAGGCATCCTGTCTCCTTGGCCTCGTCTTAATTGAGGGGCGCAGAGAGCAAGGTCCCACCAATAGATCTCCCAGGCTAACTTGTCACAACATCTGCTGCATCCAGAGTAGCTGGAAGCTGAAGAGCGCAGCAGGTTTTGCAGGAAATCCTTCTCAGTTGCAGGACCTACTTGCATGAGGACAATTATAACCATTCATAAACACTGCGCCACAAGTTCCTCAAATTATTTATCCTCGCAACATTTTCTTCTCAGCGTTGGACCCAGGGGAATCATGAAGCATGGATTGCGCTACCTAGGTATCCAACACATACCATGAATAACGCCAAGCCCCAACAAGCTTCCAAGGTTCAAGGGTGGTGGGTCCACGAATCTGGGCCCTGAGACTGATCTGCACTAACCAGATTTGGTAGTGGTTTTCGACCAATTAGACGTCCATCTTCCGGGTGGAGACCTCGGAAGCTCTAAGGTTACTGCTCCGTAGTTACGTAGGTAATAGTCTGGACCTCGGGATCGGGTTCTTACATCAACCTTAGGCATTGGTCATTTGGACATCACTGCATTCCTGCGTCACCTGGTGCGGAGCAGATATGTACCTAGGTATATGTGACACTGGTGAATGAGGGGATGGACCCTTCCTAACTGTCGAGGACAAAGCTCCAATGAATAAGCGTAATACTAAGAGCCAGTTCCAAGCCAGCTCACATCAAGAGGCGAGCTTTTATACAAGAACCTATATGAACTGCACTCGAGCCCGACCATCGCATGTACACTTTTTCTGTCTTACTGAACCTAGTACTATTACCCCAATTGTCATTCAGCATGGGCGACGACAGATATTACACTTTGGCCGAAGGTATGAGACCGTTCCAATCTTAGATTATGCTCCCATCTGACTATTCATAGGCCGCCCCTTTGCAAGCAACAGCACGGCAGTTCTGATGCGGAATAGACAGGGCGGCGGGCTCGGATTGCTTCAAGATACCCAGCTCATTGAGACCTTGGCCCATTTCTCTCGCGAGAGAATCCCGGAGCGGTAACTATCTTGTCCAATTGGTCGCTTACATTGAGTTTTTTACGGTATACTGACATCGGTGCCTTGAATAGAGTCGTTCATGCCAAAGCTGTTGGGTAAGCTGTTAAGGTCTCACCGAAAACTTTCTCCAGCTGAGACTCAGTGTAGATCTTATGGCGAGTTCGAAGCCACCCGCGATTGCTCCGACTTTACCTGCGCTAGCTTCCTCAACAAGGTCGGAAAGAAAACATCGGTGCTTCAGCGCGTGTCAACCATCGGGCCCGAGTCAGGATCTGCTGATACCTCTCGCGATGTGCACGGGTGGTCAATGAAGCTCTACACAGACGAGGGAAACCTGGACTGGGTTTTCAACAACAGTGTATGTTCGGTCGCTATGTTTTACCGATTGATTCTAATTTTTATCACCACCTCAGCCGGTCTTTTTCATTCGCGATGCGATCAAGTTCCCATCAATGAACCGCTCCCATAAGAGGCACCCCCAATCCCATCTTCCTGACGTAAACATGGTAAGTCAATCTGCTTTTAACTGGTAACGAGCAGATCTAATGAGAATTGCAGTTCTGGGAGTATGTTCCTTTCTCGAGCTCTAACTGGTGAATCAGACTCTAATCCAGTTCAGTTTTCACGTCGGCAACCCTGAAGGCATACATCAACTTATGATCCTATTCAGCGACCGCGGTACTCCAAAATCGGTTCGCCACATGAATGCGTACAGTGGACATACATATAAGTTCACCAAGGCAGTAAGCGATGAGGATTACTAGAAGCCAAAACTTTCTCTCGCTAAGCTTGCGTCCAGGATGGCTCATTTAAATATGCCAAAATACACATCAAAACGCAGCAAGGAATACAGAATTTCAGCCGCGAAGAAGCTGCCAAGGTTGCCGGAGAGAACCCTGACTATATGATCCAGGACATGTTTGATGCCATCGAGAGAGGCGACTACCCTGTTTGGAATATCTACGTCCAGTTGATGAGCCCCGAAGAGGCCGAGAAATATGAAGTGAATATCTTCGATATTACCAAGGTCTGGGCACATAAGGATTTCCCTCTACAGCATATTGGTCGTCTTACTATGAACCGCAACGTAAGTCTTTATAAGCACTGTCCAATATTCAGTTGCAGTGGCTGAAATCGAACAGCCGCAAAATTATTTCGCAGATATTGAGCAGGCTGCATTTTCGCCATCGACGATGGTTCCGGGATTCGCTGCGTCTGCTGATCCAAGTAAGTAAGGAGAGCCCATCGATTCTTTCTCCTGGGATTCCCGAGGCTAACCTGTGGCTAAGTGCTACAAGCACGACTCTTCGCGTACCCCGACGCGGCCCGTTACCGACTCGGGGTGAACTACCAGCAACTCCCAACCAACGCTGCCAAGGCCCAAGTCTACTGCCCTTTCCAGAGGGACGGAAGGATGCGACTTGACGACAACTATGGCGGGGACCCTAATTACGTTGGCTCCTCGATCAAGCCCACTAAGTTCTACCAAGATGTGAAAGGATCAAACCCTGTAGCATTGTCCCTACATACCGATCATGAAAAGTGGGTGGGAGAGGTTTCGGCCTACACCAGCGAGATCACCGATGCAGACTTTGTCCAGCCCGCAGCATTGTGGGACATTATTTGCCGGGAGCCTGGTCACCAGGACAGGCTTATTGAGAATCTTGTCCTCAGCATCAAGGGGGTTAAGTACCCGGAATTGCGCAAAGGTGTCTATAGTAAGTGCTCTACTATATCTTTTGAAGAGATCTGTCAACTGCAAAGCAAGTCTAACACTGGATATAGGCCTTTTTAGTCGTGTCAACAAGGACCTTGGGTTGATGTTGGGAGAGCGTACCGAAGCAGCAATCAAGGCCACATGAGATGGATCTGCATCTCTAATATTTCTGCTGCGCTAGGATACTTGGTTGTCTCTCTGGAAGTGAATGCCAATGCAATTGGCTGATTCCGATATGATCAGTGATTTATGATACTTGAAAAATGATAACACCCTAGTTAAAATGACTACTCATATAAAAATTACCCTCTTTCTTTATGCCGCTTATGCACGAGGCGTGTGGCGACGGCTCAGGTTCCATGGATCCGTAAAGAGACACCTGTGAACATAATTCTCTAGTGGCAAATGACATTCTGCGCTGGGTACAGAGTCAAGTTTCTATTGGATGGCTTCTCTAGTATTATTACCCCCACATGGAGCCAAATCCTGGGCGTAAACCTGCGGCTGAGCCCAGTGGATTTCCGAATCGCACTTAGACCTGCACGAATGTTGCGGGTAGACCGAGCCTATCATGTGATCTCAATCTCGAATTCCACATTCCGATCCGCCAACTTCGCTGTCCCAACAGACCTCCTTATGGCCATAAAAGAAGAATGTCTCCGCGGGCCTCCAGCTCCTCCAGTGGAACATCCAATCGGAAGCTCGGAGCCATGCTATGAGGGAGCACTGGAAGCGGCGACATCAGCAAAATCAGGACGCGAGGATATCTCACCAGAAGAGGTTATCGCGAAATTTGCCTCTCCGCTCGAAGAGCACTAATGCGCACGTTCCATCATCAGCTGATGCAATTACCTCTTCAGCGTTGCAATATAGCGAGGACATGGACGCGTTCAATAATAGAGAGAACCATGGAGGCATTCCTGCTCAGCTATTGTATGGTCTGAGCTATGCCTTGTTGAGCTCGAGACCTAATCCGTTCCAGACGTGTCCTGTTCACTTGACGAGCCAGCATCAGAAACTTCTACACCACTGTGCGTATGAGGATTTGAGGCAATACTACTTGTAAAATCTTGCTGACTGGATCGCAGGGATTAGCACCCATGCGGCTATGATGTTCGAAGATCTGGATGTCATCGAGTTTAATCCGATGAAGGATGTTTGGTTCCCGCTAGACCTTTCGAATGCTTCGTCTTTCAACTGCATCATGGCGCATTCAGCTGCCCACTTATCTCATCTATACGCTGGCACTCCCCCACGGTGAGGATCTAATTCTTCTGATGCTTTGAAATATAAGACCGAGGCTATCAGAATACTACGCCTTTGGCTTGGTGATCCCGAGAAGGAGCTAAGCGACGACTCCTTTGCTGCTGTTGTGCGTCTGCCCACGTATGAGGTATGTCAATCAAGTGCGAGAATTTGTGAGAAATTAAATTGGCTGACCACCTTTTACTCAGCGATACTGGGGTACAGAGCAAGATTGGAAAATCCACCGTGACGGCTTACAAAGAATGATCGAAGCGAAAGGTGGAGTTGAAGCGCTCCACGAGAACTGGCGCTTGGAACTTGTGGTTTACCTGTGGGTGCAGCTTGCGACAGGTATAAATAATTCGCAATACTGACAACTTCCAGTGTCTCGTTAATGTCCCGGCCATCATGGCTCGAGCCCACGAATAACCTCGACCGAATCTCTCCTCCTCTTTTTTCAACCCCCATTATGCAACAAACCACTTCTTGCGATATCCAAAAGGTCCGCTGCCTTTGGTTGATGTCATTCATTCAAGACATGAGGACGTTCATGGGGTCTGTTTACACTAGAGGGCTTTCTTCGTTCCCCTTTACTCATGCCGCAGTCGGACTTTTGCGTGATCACTTTCAGCTCTCTATGGAGTCTCGTGCCAATGGCACTCACGGCGCAGAGTGGGAAGACGAAATGCTGGCATGTTTGTTTTGTATCAGTGTTCTAATACAGGAGTCAATTTCCGTGCTGTCCGATGGGGATTTGACAACATCCACTGGACAGAACACACTTGACAGATTAGAAATATCGTTACAGCAGTCTCGACATATGTGGGGGCGTTCAATCCACAACTTGCGCTCTATCTTATATGAAAGCCTGACAAGGCTCTTCGAGGAAGGGGAATTCAAGGTGAACTATGTTACGGACCTGGTGCACGTTCTTGGCGCATTGAGTTTGGAAGCGCGCCGAGGAGTCGAGAAATGTCTTCTTAATTTACTTTACTGCCTCGGGAAGACCAGCAACATGCTATCAATAGATGACGGTTGGTCACCGGATTCACTTTTATCGTCAATGCACGGACATTAGCGCATGCAGTCATGAAGCTTCGAAGGTTCGCATTTATTCTAACAAGTTCCAAGGTTATTACGTAAAGAAATAGCGAGCGGACTACGTACGGCGGTTGCGTAGCCTAAAGAGTTAGTTTACTGATTGGTAACCTGGCATGTCAACCATGAGGGTTGACGTAGTCATCTTTTTGGTAGAATGTCGGTTCAATGTTCTTCCCGATTGATCTAGCTACTGTGGGAGGTGCCAGGACCTTACCCTTTACAATTATGTCAAGCATAAAACACTAGGGCTGGTGATAGCAAAATTTCCTAGTAACATTCCTCATTGTTTTGTCTGCATATCGTCATAAGAAACGAAACAGCGCTGAGCAAAGGCAAGAGAACTACATCAAGCCTCCATAGGTTTGACCCTCTTCTTCAAGCTGCTTATCCTCTTTGAGGTATTGCTTGAGGGCTTCCTCGTCTTTTTTCAGATCGGAACGCAGCCCGCCCTCGCTGCCCTTAGGCTTGTCCTCGGCAGCCTGGCCCTCGTTTCCATGCTTGTGGTGGTCGTGATGGTGGAGCATCTTCTCGAAGAAGGACTTGTGCCCGGTAGACTGCTGCGTGTCTATCGTCGAATCTCTGGTTAGTATTGGAAGGGCGAATGAGTGACGGGGTTCGCGGACCTTGAGGCATCTGGACCAAATTTGATGAAAGATCTGTCATATGGTCTAGGGTTCAGGATATTAGATATTACCCGGCATCTAAGAATGTTCTGCTAGAATGGTGAAGAGTGTTCTACTATATACCATATATTCCCCACGCAAATGAACTGTGGGGACAGATCTTGGAATGACGCGTCGATCCTCGATCTCAATCCGGTAATACTAATCGGCCAACCAGAGGACGTATCTGGCATGGCCTAGAGCATGCCGATCCCTAGGACCCGCCACAAGCTAGAACAAAATCAAAATAAAGAAAAGCAAAAACAGACAGCAGTGAGGATTCGCTGTTGGTCACCCACCCAACTACTAACTCACCGGCGTGTGGCTTACATGCGGAGAATAGTCGAGGGGGTGTCGCCCGGGTGAGTTTAGGGTGAGCGCCGCTTTAGCGTCCCGCGACCAGAGCAGGGTGAGTGCGCAATAGACAGGGTGAGAATCGGGGTGAGAGCGGGTGATTCTCACCCCGTGTCGCGAACACCCTGCCATATCTCCAAGGCATTAACTTAGTCAACATTTTTCTCACCCCTTCTGTCAAATCCTATTGAATGTAGCGACACCTAAGATACAGTACCTACTACAATTTCTATGTAAAGCACTAACAAAAATAAGTTACTCCTAGTTTTACCATATGTACTCCGTAAGGCTTGGTGAAAAGCAAAAAAGCCGATGTTCCAATTCTGGCTTGCCCCTTTAAACCTATATTTTCCAACCAATCTTTTTATCACTATTTTGCGTTTCCATCCTTCAGGCAAGGTGTTAACTAAGTTATAGTTAGTAAGAGGAGGGTTGTTGTATTCAGTTGTGTGTATCAATCACCATCAATGAATTAAATGAATGACTTGCGGGTCCCTCTCAACCAGCTTCCCAGCCTTTCTTCATCATGAATGACCTGGATTCTCTGCCTCCCCCTCCATGGGGGAGATTGGCTGTTGAACAATATCTCATCGTATGTTGTGCCTTTTGAGTTTTACTTCAGATGCTAATCCCGTGCAGACAAACTGGAATAACTCCTCCACCAAAACCCCCGACCAGCAACGAAAAATTCTGGTCGCTGAGTTCCTCGACATGGAATCTATCCCCCTTGAATGGACCGAAGATTGGACAGCCTTCCAGGGGGTATCGATCCGCCTCGTGCGCCTACAGCAGAAGAAGTGGATATAATTCTCCGACATTACCGCAGCGACGTGCTCCGATGGCATGCAATGAATCTGTTCAATGACCAGATATGCCCCGCTTTACTGCGCACACACTATTGCACCGACGAAGAAGAGAAAGCCAGACACGATGAACTAATGACTGAATGGGTCGATTCAGATCCCTTTGAATCAGAGGCCTGGTGGGCGGTTCTCGATAATGCGGATCTCTTCAACTTCGGCCCGGAGTGGCGGCGTGTGTACGAGATTCTTCCCGACCTTACGGGCCCACTTGAGCCCGAGGTCGATGATGGACTGGAGATTCCGCGCGCCCGTAGAGCAGAACGCCTTGAAAATTTCCGGTCTGGTCTCAAAGCGCAAATTGCCGAAGCGAAAGAAGAAGCCCCAGAGACTTAGCGCGAGGACCGAGACACAATCATCGATAGCCTCGCGATAGGGTTACAAAAATGCGCCACGAGGACGTATCTTATCCTTACGGACGAGGAGGCTTTCCGGTCTGGAAGTTTGCATGTGCTTTATTTAGATGGTTTCCGAAACGTCATTCGCGAAGGTCGTATGGATCCTGAGATTCACGGTCTCTTCGGTGTGATTAGTACATAGATGGAAACCAACGAATTCCTTAAGGGCTCGACTGTTAGGGAAAGGTATCGAGCCAGTGCAGAATTAGGGAGGGAACTATATCAATTGACGGAAGAAGATATTACAGACCCTGATCAATAGACGAAATGAAGAACATGGTGCTGCATATATACTAGATAGGATGAGGTAAAAGGTGGAAAGTTGCCTGACACGGACGTTTTGTTAACATCGGAATTCGCTCCGACAGAAGAGTCCATTTCCTAGTGTCTTACAAATTTCAGTCTACTCCAACCAGAAAGAAAAAGGAAGAGATTTCCGTACATTTTTATATACAAAAATTCATCGACATTCAGGGCAAGTTACCTTCGTGTTCAGAACCATCCAGATCCGCAGGCTTCAATAACTGAGCCATCTCGGCATCGTCCACACCCTACACATATTCAATACCTAAAAAGAGAGTCAGCGAGTATTTGAAAAGAAATTTTTCGACTTCCACATACTTTTAACTCCCATTCACCCCACTTCTAAGCGTCCCGTTTAGATGTGCCCGAGCTGCTGCTCGCGCTGTTCTGGAAACGAATGAGACACCTTCTTCCCATGGTAAAATCGACCCCCAAGCAGGGGTTCACATACCATCCTGGTTGGTTCTCTCGCAATACGCGTTGTACTCTTTTTGCACGCCGATTGGTGTCCCAGCTGACTTGACTTTCACACCTGGAAGTTTATACACGTTGCCCTAATTAAAATGATTGACCACGCAAGGAACCGAGTCCATGGTAAGAGGCCCATCGTATTTAGGTTTGTACCATGTCGGTGGGTTGGCATCCCACCCGTCTGCCGATGTGGGTGATCTTTATGACCAACGAGGTTCACCGACGGAAGCCTTGGTGGCCCCGTATTCCGGGTGATTCTGAAAGTACAATCCCTCGGTTCTTGCTATGCGAATTACCATCTCAGGGTCTAGTGGAGATGAAGTAACATCGATCATGTTCGGACCCATTTAGTTTCCATTTAGTCCTATTTAATCCCATTTTCCTTCCTAAGAACATTAGATATCGAAAATGGCCTAGTGAAATATTCAACTACACCCTTGCGCTTCTAGCCTTAGAGATATCCTAGTTCTTAGTCAATCGATATGTTACGACCCTTAGTCAATATTGTGATTCTTGGTCTATTCCTTCTCGCCCAGGAAGCTACAGCAATTCAACTATGGAATAACACCGACAGCTTCTCCGATAATATACCGGCTGTCTGCTAGAATGCTTTAATATTCGATATTAAATACGCTAATTATCTTATAACTACCCGAGATGCTATAAACGGAGCTACTTTAGTAGGGGATCTGGCAAATCAGTATTGCATATAAGAATGCCATAATTCTATCGAAAACTTCTAGAGAAGTCACTTGGCTTACAGAACTAAAGCATACATTTTATTCAAAAGCAACGGCTAGAGTAGTCCCTAGGGATATTATTAATAGGTTGGCGTGGGCGTATAAGTTAAGTCAATATTCGTAAGTTTTCTCTAATTATACAACGATTTAGAACCTAAAAGCACTAGTGAGCTGACTATACTATAGAACTGGTTACTACCTAATAGTAATTTATGACCACACGAAAACAGCCTATTCGGACTATACCCTCAAGTACGGTGTAGTGATAGCGAGCTCAGATTATAGGCGTAAGTAGTTCCCGCCGGAGGCCTTCTCGTCGCTTTTATCATCTTATAATATGCTAGTATCGAGCTATACCTACGAGTACAATTCATCTAATCCTATAATAATATCGGGATCCGTTAGTGTGTTATTATATATGACTTTAACTCCTACTTACACCGGAAAGACCTACGTTGCTAAGGAGGTTGATACTTATAAATCAATCTCTAAGGCTCAATCTATTAGCACTAATCGCTTAGTTAAGATAAACCATCTAGACTATATTTACTCTTCACTAACTTCTAGTACTAAGCTCTATAACGAGAAGACCTACCTATACGGTGTATACCGTATAGGTAAACCGGACGTGTAAAGATATTGTCCGTAGACGTTCTTTTAGATTGGTATAACTCATCGGTTAGAACCCGTACGCGGAACCTCCTATATATTTTTCTAGAACCTATCTCTAACGATCAATATAGGACCATCTATCAGATTTGCGATAACCTAGATTAATAGTGGGAAGAAGCATTTATCTCGTAAGCTATATATAAAATCAAAATCTTAGACCATTAGATCTAATATGTCCGTTTATAGACCACCTAGGGGAGGTTTATTTACTATTCCTACCGAGAACTCCACTATATCTAAAGATTAACGTCCTCTATAATCTCGTCTTAGCTGCCCGGAGAAGCAACAACCATGACCGCTAATATCACTACCTCGTGGTATTATCCTACTGATGATCCAAATTATACTTAACCGCCGTTCATCGGTCCGCCAAATGCGACTTGGAGTAGCTTGATAACTGAGCGAACTTAGTACTGCTGGCTGACCGATGATCAAGCTAACGGGGAAAGATTTTACCCCGATGAGGATCTGTCATCGGACTGCCTTTCCCTCTACTAGACCTATTGCGATATTGGCCCCACAGATCCAGTTCCGAACTCTCTGGTGTCCTCAATTCCGTAAAGCAGCATACCCCAAACTTCTAGCTCGGTACCGGATTCCTCGACACCAGTGATACCAACCAGTACTAGCGTTTTCACACTCACCACAGCCCAGACTGGTACGGCTGATGGATGCAACAAGTTCCATAAAGTTGCGCAGGGTGAGGGCTGCCAGCAGATTGCCAACGACAACAGTATCTCCCTAAGTGATCTACTAGCCTGGAACCCGGATGTTGGCAGTGACTGCCGGAACTTGAAGTATGACTTTTATGTCTGTGTGAGCAAGTAGTCAATTGGTCCCTATTGACCGGGCTGAGCTGAAACTTCCGTGAGTCTTTGATTCAATCGTTTACGAGAAGTGGTGGGAGCAGAATAATTTGTCTGGGAGCATGGAACCTGGGACCAGATATTATCTGGCTTAATCCAGACCTCACTGAATATTTTTGGATCAAGAAAGCGAGCCAAATGCCACCTCTCTATGAGGCGGTAAGAAAATATGACATTCGTCTTGGGTCTCGCCTAGAAATATGAAGTCCGACTTGTGATACTTATACAAATATAAGCTGTTTATTTAAAGAGAAAGGTCTCAGCACCGTCTGCATCTCGAGAGACGTTTCCTGCTTCTCGAAATGTAATGTGTGGAGGGTTTTGAATTTATCATAAGTAGGCGATCACGACAATAAAAACATGAGTTGCCGCTTCCAGGACTTACAACGTATTAGGGGCCACATTCTTCTAGATCTCAAGGCATTGTTCAGTAAGTCTACTGCTAGGCTTTTGTCGGCCGGCTTAGAGTGCCCGTGTGATCGAATCCACCGTCTCTTCATATATCACCAGATCGTCGCCGAATGTCATAAATATCGTGTTTATACTATCTTTAATCGCCGTATCGAAGCACTGCCTAGGAGGAACCTTCTAGATTCTAGTTATAAAAAGTTGCCTCATATACTCGCGTATTCTTAGACGCTATTCGCTCTATAGGAGACGGGTCGAATAGGTCGACTAGCATTTAGTAGACTAAGCGATTATAGTCGCTACATTTATCACGCGTACGGAATATAATTATTACCGCGGAGCGCTTAGCTATATCGCTCGCTCCTTATCTTACCCGGTTGACAGGCCATACACAAACAGGATAACTTTACAATAGGTTCCTATATATCTTTAGTATAACTATATTTCTTCTATCTTACTAAATGGTAAGGTCCCCCACTTATCTATTATATATCTAGGACCTCTTTAATCTTATACTCTTCCTTTAGGTCTTCTTTAATTTCTATATCTATCTATATCTACCCGTTCATTAGATATGATACACTACAGAAAGATAATAGGGTAGGTAGTATTGGACCCTCAACCAACAGACGGAGCACACAGCGGATACAATACGGACCCCCGAGTCGACGAGAGAGGGATGTGGTTGTCGGTGTGACTCAATGAATGACATGGTGGCAGGGCCGTAGGGTAAAGGTCGCAGGGTAAACCTTTCTCGTATTTACTAGTAGTTTATACCAGATGACTATTATCTTACCGGTAGGTCACCTCGAAATTATTTACCGACTTTTTAGTTCGTAGGGTCGTAGGGTAAAAAATAACCGGGAGGGTTAGTAAATAGACTAACAATATTCCCAACACTCTACAGCACACAAGCTCTAGCTCTGTCATGCTTGTGCCATTCAACTTTCATGGCCGTGACGCCAGCCGTAAGAGCGCGCAGGGAGTTCGCGTGGATCTTGCCAGACAGAATGGGGAACAGCGAAGGCTCAATTCTTTGGTCATCACTACGAACATGGTTTCGTGTTGGATGAGGTCAGTCGCCATCCTCCATTGTAAGGATTGGCTGTGAATCACCAACTGACAATTTGACACAGAACCATGTGGTTCCTAACTTAACCGCATATGGTGCCCAAGAGCATCAGGTGAGAAAATTCCCCTACACCGAAGATATGCTGTACATGTAAAATTTCTTGATCAACAGGGCCAGCCAGCCGACACGCAATATTACCGGTTGCAACGGCCCGGTATCTGTCCATTTGTCGATTTGGGGAAGAATTCCGGAAAGTGTCTCCGTTTTATTAAGGTCGCTTGCTGGGAATTTAGATAAGCTGCGCTCCGCTTATATATACTTCACTCGTCGTGGTTCTCCGTAGGTACATATTCCAAAGAGCTAACACGAAGCTCTCGTAATCGTAAAGAGGAGATTTCCCCATGCTGAGCTTCAATGGAATTTTAGCATGGCTTCCCGCTACATGAAAGTACTAATGGAGAATACTCTAGAGTCTCCACTGCAGCTCATAGTGTTTCATTAGAGAGTATTGAGATAATAGCAAATGAACCGAGAATGGGGCTTAGCATGATCGTCACCGAGTGGCGGACCTTGATTCGTTACGCTACTGTTAGGAATATAAGCAACTTGCATTAGTGAAATATTGGCATTTCTCCACTATTCTTCAAATACGTATTCATCCACAAGCACAACTACGAAACCCTTCCAAGGTTGGCATGAATCTTGGCATACCCGCTGTCAGCACCGGAGATAACCTCGGAATTTGCACCGCATTTTCGCTGATCCAGAGTATCTTGGCAAGCTTAATCGTTCCTATTCTATCAAATGGAATCAGTTCAGGCATCACCAATAATATATCTTGGCATGACGATGCCAGCCTTGGTTTTGTCTCTAATGTTACCATGTACCAGTCCCATTGCCCTCCTTATGAACTATAAAAGAATAGGCAAATCCTACCCGGTGCTACTTCATATCCAAACAATTCCATTTTCCTTCTTGCTCAGAAATTAGCAACGAACAACAGCAACATGAAGATCGTGGGAGGCAGCATCGCCGCGTTTGGCATGGCAACTCATACCATGTCAGCTATGGCACAGAATATGTCATACGGAGCGGACAATTTCTACCGCAGTGACAATGTGACGGTTCACAAGGTCAAATTCCCAAGCCAATACCACACGGTTATCGCGGGCAACCTCTTCGCCCCTAACAATCTCAACCGCAGTGTCTCCGCCCCGGCTATTGTCGTCGGCCACCCAATGGGTGCAGTCAAGGAGCAGAGCGCGAACCTCTACGCAACAAAATTGGCCGAACAAGGCTTCGTTACGGTGTCACTTGACCTGCCATTCTGGGGCAGCAGCCAGGGCAGACCACGCAATGCTGTGTCGGCAGAACTGTACGCAGAGGCGTTCAGCGCAGCAGTTGACTACCTTGGTGCGCAAAACTTCACGAGCGTGAATCGTGAGCGAATCGGTGGTCTCGGTATCTGTGGCAGCGGCTCCTTCATAATCAGTGCAGCGAAGATCGACCCACGCCTCAAGGCCATTGCAACATCGTCAATGTATAACATGGGCGCTGTCAATAGAGACGGACTACAGAAGTCGCAAGGCCTCCCTGAGCGCAAGGAAGTAATCGCCGCGGCTGCACAGCAGCGCTGGGTCGAGGCGGATGGTGGCAGAACCGAATACACGGGCGGCACTCCGAATAGACTCACAGCGAATTCCACTGCCGTGGACCGTGAATTCTACGACTACTACCGTACCTCACGTGGTGAATTTACGCCTAAGGGCACCACTTCGAATCTTACAACACACCCGACGCTGTCGACAAACACTAAGTTCATGAATTTCTACCCGTTCAATGATATCGAAACGATCTCGCCGCGTCCGATGCTTTTTATCTCCGGTGACCAGGCACACTCACGCGAGTTTAGTGAAGATGCTTATGCCCGTGCGGAAGAGCCGAAAGAGCTGTTTTGGGTATCTGGCGCTGGTCACGTTGACCTTTATGATCGCGTCGATCTGATTCCATTCGCTAAACTCACTCACTTCTTCCAAACAAACCTCGTCTAGAGGGAGTGAGTGGTAACGAAGATCAAAGATCTGAACTACTCCACTTGTTCGCAATACTTGGTGTATATAGAGATGATCGACTTCCTTGGCAATGTATTTAGGTCACGAAAACTGGATATTATGATTACACTTCCTACTAAGAATGGGCTAGTCCAATGTCTATGTGGAACTCCCAGGAAATTTGAGTCCACTTTTTAACTCCAGTTGTAGTGTGGCAATGGTGCGAAGGGGCAGTGGATTGGCAAATCAAAGTGCATAACTACCCAGGTGGACCCAAGGTGGACCTTACATGTAAGCAACTTACATTGGCACCGGACTTCTTGTGTGCCAATATCCGATAACGAAAATAGACAATATGTATTGACTTTATAAAGTCCTCTTTCTGTCTCAATTCTCAAATTTGCAAACTTCAATATCTATCTATCTACATACGGACTATCAAGACAATGCAAGAATACACTCACACGGGGCCTGTTGATTGCAACAAGCCAATCAATGTGGAGAACCTCAAGGGGAAAACCGCAATTGTCACTGGCGGTGAGTCCTTACTGGAACATTGAATTGAATGTGGAGCATGCACTGATTGAGAACAGGTGCCAATGGCTTGGGAGAAGCCTACGTTCGGGCTCTGGTTGCCGCTGGGTACGGGATGATGTCGGAAGAACGAAGCGTTAGCTAACAATATAATTAGAGCCAAAGTCTGCATCGGGGACCCAGACATTCAAAAGGGAATCAAATTGGAACAAGAACTGCCAGGGTATGTACACAGTTGAATTTCCTTGGCTGTTCTTCACGCTCATGTATCGTCTCAACAGGACGAAATTCATTCGCTGCGATGTCAGCAAGTGGAGTGATCAGGTCTATCTCTTTCGCCAAGCGGCGCTCTTCTTTCCGACGGGGAGGATTTCCCATGTCATAGCCAACGCGGGTATTCATCGCCAGGACGAAGTCTTTTTGTACGCTGGCGACGATCAAGAGCCAGAAGAGCCCGATTTGAGTGTCATTGACGTCAACATCAAGGGTACTCTCTATACCGCGAAATTGGCAGCACATTATTTCATTCGACAGAATGGCACTGAAGCATCTCCAAAGCAGGAGGATTCTTCTTTGGTTTTGATCGGATCGGGTGCGGCTTTCCTGGATGTTCCACGGAGTCCTCAGTACTGTGCGGGCAAGTGGGCCATGCGCGGAATCATGCACTCGTTGAGAAGGACCACACATTTCTACGGCAGTCGGGTGAACATCATCTCTCCATGGTAAGGGTTAATCTTGTTCACTGTCGTATACTTCTATTACTGACAAGGCATCATCAGGTACGTCAAAACGAACATCTTATCCGAAGATGTTTTCAACCATGTATCCAATGTGGGGGTTGAGTTTGCAAAGGCGGAAGATGCAGGTCAATGCCTGCTGAGGGTCCTCACCGATGTCAATATCAACGGGCATACATTGTTCGTTTCAGGTAGGAAGTGGGCTCCTAATGGATACTTCGACCTCGATTTAGATGATTACCCACAGAATGCGCTGATCAAGGAGATACAAGAAGACCAAATGAAATCGGCACCTGTCTCTCTGGGCTTGTTTGTATGAACAGGTGACACATGGAACTAGAGTGGTGATCCAAAACTGCCTGGGTCAAATGTCTTGCCTAACGCCAATATCTAGCAATTTCATTTATTAGAATATCGAAAGGTGCAGTATTTTAGGCTCACTAAGCAGAAGAAATGAAGAAGATTCCCCGGCTCAAGTCGTTTGAGAATGGTATAGCTGCCTATCCACTAGGCGACCGGTATATCAAAGTTAATGTTGTTTTCCAATCAAGAGGCTTCTCTCCCCTCTTCGCTCTCCAACGATTAGTATTCATCACTAATTCTTCACAGCCTTTAAGCAAAAATCCCCACTTCAGTAGGAAAGCTGGCGTGACTTCCCAGTTTTCCGGCTCCCAAGAAGGACCCCACACTAGCAAACTAGCCCCAGTATTTCTCGTATCCCAGAATGCCATCAGATCATGACACAAATCGTCGTCGTCGATAATGTCTTGAACGGCTATAAGATTGTCACGCATATTGTGAAAGGGGAAAAAGTCCAGCCACGGGTGATGAGGGATGCGCCGTTGGTAGTCTGTTGGTTGAAGACTCGAGGGTATTGATAACATGGAGAAGCCAGGTACTTCAGTGTTGAAAATGGAGACAGCGTCATCGCGTTCCATCCACTCCATTGTCATGCCAATGGAGCGTGTATTCTCGATGATTGCACGCTGAATATTTAGCTTTGAGAGAGAGAGGAGGTGATCGATGTTGGGAGAGTTGCGAATGTAGCTTTCCAGTGCTAGGGCCTCGAATTCACGCATCATTGAGTGCAATTGACGGGGCGCGATACTGCATGTAAATCCCTTTTCATCTCGGTCGATTCGGATAGAAGTGGAGCTCGGTGGTAAGACTATGCCTTTGCTGTTGTGGAGCTGTGCCTTGTCCTCCGTGATTTTGTTCTGCTGTCGCATCCCTGCCTATGTCAGTTTATGATATCATGCGGAGGAAGGAGGACACGTACGATATGTTCTTTGGTTGAGGCGATTCTGTAACTTTCTCCGTTCAGTGCGATCGGTAGTACCGGTCCAATCATCCTCGGGTTTTCGGATAGCCGCTTGTTGCGACATTCGGATCAGTTGAATTCGCTGACTGCTGGGCGTCATATTTGATGACATGGGGAATGGATGTGTCGGGGCGATCATGGGGGCGACATGGGATTTTAAAGATGTAATGTGCTTATGCCAAGCCTGAATATGATTGGTTTATATTAAATTAGAGTTACGCTAATGCAAGTTGCTTACATATTCTAACCCAATATGGACTAGGCTTGACAAAGCCTTGGATCGCCTTCCTTGGTTTTGGAAAGCGTTTGCTGCCAGAGCCACACCAGCCATGAGGCAACAGAATTTCGGATGGTCTCTTCCATTCTGTACCACTTCTATCTCCGGCCTAAGCCTGACCGATTTAAGGCAGTACGTATTTAAGGAAAACATTTATCTTGTTCTTCCAGCAAGATATTCTCGAGGCTGGCAGGTCGGGCGTCCAGAAAGATGGAGCTGAAGTACGTTGTAAACCCGGGGTGTCTCGCCTTTGAATCTCACAATGGCGTCTGCTGATATTAACTAACTTAATCGAATGTTCCAAAGTTTGCTCTACACTTCACGTGCCAAGTATACACTGGAGATGTCTACTCACAAGGTATCTGTTCAGGAGTTTCAAAGTGGTCCAGTTCGTATTTTCTTAGGCTGACCCGAAGCATGCCAGAAGATCAGCCACTGCATCTTCTGGGACTGCTCCTTGATATTGAAAAAGCTGAAGTGATGACCTTGATCCACGATATCGATAAGATAAAGTAGCTCCGCGAATGACTCTATGATCAGGAAAGGTTGATGAAATCCCACACTTTGGGCTAACCCGCCATTTAGGTTGAGCTTTAGAAACCACTGTTTCTTCTGCTCATCGGTGTCGATATCTATCGAAGAGGTTGTCCGTTCTCGTCCATAAATATCCTTCAACTCCTCAAGAAGGATCTGAACTTTGTTTCTGTTGGGAGTCAAGCAGATGATAAGGTGTAAGCGCTCATTTCATCGTCAGTATTCGGACGAGGTGATATGACTGAAACCCAATATCTCGGCATTCCTCACTGCCGCTGGTGTTATTTCTGTATGCGAGCTAGCCATATTGTGGCAAACTCAGAATAAGATGGATACATTCAAATCGGTGACTGCGTTTCTAGGTCATATCGCGACTACATAGATGGCTCGAACGTGGCTCCGTCCTCAGCTGCGAAAGCTGTAGTCACATAACCTTGGAAAGTAGCGAAACATATTCAAAACCTACTTTGTGTACGACAATATTCTAACTTATGAGTAAATCTATAAAAGCGCCTTCAATGTTAATATTGACTTCTCTAACTGACAAAAATAGGAAAAACTCAAAAAAGAAACAGAACAGATATGGCCCCACCAGGCCCTAAACAGGAACCGAGGTTTTTGTTATGTGTGGAATAAAATACGGCATTTTACCACTCGACCATAACAAAAGCCAAGGTTCCTGTTTACCCTTGGGGGGAATATCCCAGTGACATTATGCTCTAGTGGTAAAATACGCTGTATCTTTTCCAACAAAACCGCGAATTTTGACCATCGGTGATGTATGTAGACATTTGTATGGTATGGCCGGTACCATCGGTGACACGATTTTCTGGGTATTTTACCCCGTCTCAACCATGTATCTCCACCTTCCGAGGTTGGTATTCGACATTTATTATCAATCTCCTATCAATACTGTCGCAGCAACCGCACCATATTCTCAACCTCGTTGCCTCCCACACCCAGTCCCGCCGATCCCGAATGTCAAGGCTTATGCAGGGGTCTGCAACGGTAGCATTGTGATCGCAATGCGGTGGCCAATCACGAGGTCAGCCTGCACGAGGGTAAGCCTGCGTGAGGTAAGCATGCACGAGGTAAGCTTGCACGGGGTAAGCCTGCACGAGGTCAAGGGTCTGCATACAAGGCTCTGCAGAGGTAGCAATACGGTGGCCAATAGGTACTCATGTTTTCGAATGTGGAACTGAATGTCAACTTTTAGCGCGTGGTAATCCGCCAGTAATCCGCTATTATACGCCTCTGACCGCTTATTCCTCGACTGGTTATTTAAGAGAAAGAACATAACTAAGCAGAAGCGCGCACAGACATATGAAGCAGAATACATAGCCAACTTGTCCCTTTACTACAATGCTCTTTCCGCTATTGATCACCATGCTTCTAAACCCGTTCCGACCATGCGAGGGCTCGCCAACCTTCCAAGAGGAATATCGCGGTAGCTATGTACCAAAGGCTATCGAAACAGGATATGGCCTCCAGGTTGTGGCGCCGGACACTCCATATGTGGCAGCGGCCGGCCCAAACAAGTTATACTTCATCGACACCCGGTTCGACACTGAGACTGCAAAGCATGTGAAACAACAAATCGAGAAGGCAACTGTGCCGAACCCGGAGGAGTATGTCGCTATAGACGAGGTCTCGGCTACGGCGGAATTGAAAAATTCTGTGACTGGCGAAACGACATTCGTGTTTGATCCCCCCTATGCTAGGGTGCTATTTGCAAAGGGAATGAATAGGCACAACCCGGAACTCAAACTGCCTGAGCATGAGCCTGCCGGCGATTGGTTGGTGACCTACGACCTGGACAATATACTTACGAAGCGGATTGATACCTGCCAAGATCTTGGCTGTTACACCAACTAGGACTGCTTGCGGTAGTCAAATCGCAACTGTGAGACTTTGCCACTAGTATAGGGTTGACAACGAGTGTGACCAAATATTGACTAATGCCATCGGCATACGCCACCCTGAACTTTGCTCGAAGGCCGTCGACATACCAAAGGAAGATGGAGAGACGGACGCCAGCTACTATCAACGGCTAGACAAGTTGCACTGGGCGTAAAAGAGCTGTGGCAGGTGCAGAATTGGACCAATTCCAAGGGAATGAGCCAAGTGACTCTAGACCTACTTGTGGTGGTCAAGATTTCTTAGGGTGTTCTAGTATTTAGGGGTAGATGTTGCAGACGGATGCACTGACAAGCGATGCATGCACTAGTGCCTTATCTGCAGGCATCAGTGCTTCCATCTGAAACCTTGATGGAAACTGATCGACGCTTCTATCCATCCGCAGCAATGCCTGCTCAACTTCACAAAAAAAGAGAAAAGAAAGAAGGAAAAAAGAAACGGACATATCAAACGGAGATTCCGGCCTGGGATACGGGAGGTAACATTGGAACGTCTTGGAAATGCAAGGGAGGAATGGGAATAGCGGTGTGCTCTTCTTTGCTCTGTCTTTGTATGGTAGCCAGAGCCCGTGGGTCTGGGGCATATAACCAGAGGTTTTCCCCGAGTTCCCAGGGAGGCAGTTATGGAGAGTTGTTATCACAATTCTACTTCTCAAAGGCTCAAGTCCGCTCGACTGTCACAGTGGTCTATTGACCATTTTATCCATTCGTCAACAGTAGACATATAGGGGTAAAGGACGTCTCGAAACAGGTGTCACCACCTACACTCTTCGATTGTTTCTCAGTTCCTGGTTTCTCGAGCGGAGATCTACATGAACTATGCTGATAGGAGCCAGAGGGTGTTGGAGCCATATAGATAACAGAATTTGCGGCGGATGCGAGCGGTGGCGGCGCGGTGTAATCACGCCGTGTCCCGGGTGATTCAAACTTACCCAGGTGCGGGAGTAGGCCGCCGTGTATTCCCAGTATAGAACAGCCATGCACTTTGCCCGAAATCAAAATGATTCGACCATTCTATATCAATAGTTCAACGAAGGGTACTATATACAAATCATGAGATCAAAACAGGTAAAATTGTAATTGTTAAAGCAGATGTGCTCACCTATTCTTATCCCCAGGCTCCTGACAATGCACATCCGCACCCGCTTTCAAAAGCACCTCTACCGCTGCCTCAGAACCCGTCTCAATCGCCAAAAGCAACGGTGTCTTCCACTCTCTCGTCATCCCATCGATGACCGCACTCTCACCCGCACAGTACTGTAACAGCCTCTTCAATAACCTGTCCCGACGGTTGAGAACGGCCCAGTGCAGCGCCGAGCGAAGTTCATTATCCACGATCCCGATCCGGGCCCCATGCAACAGCAGTAGATCCACCACCTCGTCGTATCCGCCAACGACGGCATGCACCAGCGCCGTCCGGCCCTCCCCATCTTGTTCGTTGCAGTTGGCCTGGTGAGCCAGCAATATCTGCACGATCCGGTCTTGGCCCCGTTGCACAGCATGCTGTAATGGACTTAGCCTCGGGCACCTGGTGTCCGCGTTCAGGCCGCCGCTTGATACCGCCGTGTTCCAGTAACCCCCGGAAACTCCAGCACTGCTGCTATGGCTGCTGCTGGTGCTTTTCTCCGGGGCCAGCGTGGGGGCTGCGTTGTGAAGATAGGGGTTGACCGCGTGTGGGGTCGCCGGGTCTGTGTTTGCTGTGGCCGGGACGGGTGGCAGGAAAAAGTCGGGGATATGCAGGGTGGTTTCGAGGTCGGAGAAGAAGTAGTCGTCTGGGTTACTGAGGTCGAAATAATCTGGTAGGATATGTGCGCTGGCTCCTACTCCTCCCCTTTCGAGGGGGCTAGTTTGCTTGCGGCAGTCAAACGTGTGCACCGTTCTAGCATTGGTGGTAAGCATGGGGGTGTTAGGAAGCGTGGAGTAGTGGTAGTGGTGATGATCGTCGCCTGGGCGTGACGATGCTCGGCCCTGAGGCTCCGGGCTCAGGCTGAGAGAAAGTAGGCCCTGTGGGCCGGTAGCCTTTCGTTGCCTATACCGCCCTACGGCATGGAATAAAGAGTCATTAAAAGCTTTTTGAGGTAAGGGCTTGTTACTGACGTCGAAACCTCCGTTGAGCAAGCTTATTCTGTTCCCGTCGACGCTCCTTGGTCTTCGAAGCAGGTGAATTATTCCGAACCATTGATTTGAAATACCCAATCCGCCTAAAGAACGAGTCCCGCACCGATCCACTGTAGTGAGCCGTTTAATTGCTTATACTCTTGCCCAGGAAAGTGAACACAACAGGACTTGGACCTGATCTTATGCTGACCTAGTTCAGGCATTTCCCCGGGGCCCTAAACCCCGCGGGTCCTGGACCGGAGTAGTATTGCCTATTGCCCCTCTTCTCCCCCTGCTAGCCATCTCACTATCTCC